CTATGACCAACATGACCAGTAGCACCATCTACAAGATGATTGACAACCCAACAACCAGCAACTCGATGTAAGAAGCAGGGACCCAGCCCTGGATCCATCCTACCACCTCGACAATCGGGACCCGATCCCTGTTCGGGACAATGTCAGAGACCGAGAGAATGTTAGGGCGGAGACTCTGGCCAACACAAAAGCAAACAACACCAACAGGGTGACCAAGAAGCGACGCCGCAGATGCGCACGCTGCACTACTGGAAAGAGTAGCGCCACCCCTACTGTGGAAGTCGAGAAGAGGAGAGAAGTTAGCTCGGTAACAGTTCATCCAGCCTCAATTCCGCTAAGTCGGCCTTCCCCTTTAGCTCTAAAGATTCTCTTGGCCCCTTGGTCTTTAGCACCAGAGATTCTCTTAGCCCCCACGACCGAAGAACTTCAAAACGCCCGCCCTGGAGACCTATGATGGAAGCACCGATCCCAATGATCACAGTGTTAGCTTCCAATCCTTGATGTTACTCCATGGGGCAGATGAAGCCTATCTTTGTATGGATTTCTCTATGACCTTCAGAGACACGACGAGATTATTGTATTGAGGACTACCCCTTGGCTCGATAAAAAGTTGGAGCCAGTTCATGGATCTTTTCACCACGCACTTCGCCAAGAGCAAGAAGTGCCCTAAGTCAGTGACGAGCTTGTTGAATGTTGTCTAGCGAGAGAATGAGTCCCTTAGGGACTATTTCAAAAGATTCAACTTAGAAAGGCTGCAGGTACCAAACCTTGACCCGGCCGTACAACTCACTACAACTCAGAAGGGAGTCTGCCACCCTGATCTCCATTGGCCGCTTAAGTTGAACCCACCAACTTCTATGGAGGCATTCCTCATAGAAGTTGATAAGTTCATCAAGGCTGAGGAGGCTCTCGGGTCCCGATTAGAGTTGCACTAGGCTGGGAAAAGGAAGATAACAGAGGAAGAAAGCAGCAACAACAAGCACCAATGACGAAAGAGTAAGTTGCCAAAAAGAAGCAGGTCACCGTGCAGTAGGTGAAGTAGGTCACCAAGAAAGAGTTGGTCACCATGTTGGGGGTCTAGCTTAGGTCGGCGATCTAGAACCCCCCCCCCCCCCAGTCTTGAACCAAAACTATATCGCCCTAAATGCAAAACAGGGTGAAATTTTGATGTAGATTAAGGAAGCCAGTTAAGTCAAGTGGCCACCCAGGATGAGAGGAGACCCCATCAACCATAACCCGAACCGGTACTATCACTTTCATTAGGATATCGGGCATGATACGGAAAGTTGTTGTAACTTGAAGGATGAGATTGAGGAGCTGATCCGCTGTGGCTACCTCAAACAGTTTATCAAGTACGAGAACAGAGACCACCGACCTGCCGAGCAAGGCAGAGATGCATCAGAGTGAGTAGGTGGAACGACAAAGAGCATCCACCCCGGGATCCACCAACACCGGAGAGACCGATCCGCAGGGTGATTAATATGATTACAGACAGGTCATATACTTCACAAGGACGGGCAAGAGTGTAGTTTGAGAACTGGAGCACGACGATGAGAACCCGCTGAAGCGCCCTCGAGTGGAGGAAGTCATATACTTCACTGAGGACGATGCTCACGGGGTCCAGTATCCGCATGATGACGCCCTCGTGGTCAAAATGGTGATCAACGACTTCAAGGTAAAGTAGATTTTGGTGGATTCAGGCAGTTCCACGAACATATTATTCTTGGAAGCCTTCGAGAAGATGGAGCTAGATTGGAAAGACCTTTAGCCAGTAGACATGCCCCTGGTCGATTTCAGTGGAGACGTAGTGAAGCCCCTCGATAGGCTCAAAGTGCCAGTGGCAACAGGAGCAGAGCCCAAAACTGTCTGATTTGAACACACCTTCCTCATGGTCCCCCCCTGTCCCCCTACAACGCTATCTTGGGTCGGTCCATCTTCTATGCACTTCGGGTGGTGGTGTCGACCTACTACCTCTCGATGAAGTTTCCAACGAGGTATGGAGTGGGGGTAATACGAGGCGACCATCTAGAATTATGGAAGTGCTACGTTGCGACACTAAATGGCAAAGCAACGCTAGCAGAAGATGTCAAGCTGGAGCCACCCCCCTGAACACACCGACAAGAGAGATGCATCGATGGAGGATACAGTCCAGGTCCCGGTCTCTGATACCGAGCCCATGAAGACTCTCCAGATTGGCGCTCGCCTAAACGAACCACTCAGTTGCAACTGGTAAGTTTCTTACTTAAAAATTTAGATGTTTTTGCATGGTCGGCAATAGAAATGCTCGACATTGGCTCTAGTATCATTACTCATAAACTTAATGTGGACCCTTTAGTCTGGCTAGTCAAGCAAAGGAAAAGAAACCTCGCCCCAGAGAGGTGGAGGATAGTAGATGAAGAGGTCAGGAAGCTCGTTGCAACATATTTTGTTAGAGAGGTCCAGTACCCAAGCTGGGTAGCAAATCCTGTGCTCGTAAAGAAAGCCAACGGCAAGTGGCACATGTGCGTCGACTACACTAACCTTAATAGAGCCTGCCCAAAGGACAACTTTCCCCTTCCCAGAATTGACCACTTGGTAGACGCGACCTCGGGGCACAAGTTGGTGAGCTTCATGGACGCCTATTCCGGCTACAACCAAATTCAAATGGACTTAGCCGACCAGGATAAGACTTCTTTTGTAACAAAACTAGGGTTGTACTGCTATAAAGTCGTACCCTTTAGATTTATGTCTAAGTCGGCTGGTCGGTGTTTGCCCTTTTTCAAGGCTATAAAAAAGAACGAGGACTTTGAATGGTTCGAAGAGTGCCAACTCGTGTTTGACGAGCTCAAAAGATACTTAAGTTCACCCTTGGTTTTGACCCGACCTAAACCTAGAGACAAGCTAAAACTATACCTCTCTACGAGTGATGAGGTAGTCAGCTTGGTACTAATAAGAGAAGTAGAGAAGTAGATCGGGTCCAAAGTAGGGGTGCTCACGGTTTGGTTAACCGAACCGTGGGGTAATTTTTTAGACCGAATCGACCTGTTCGGTTTTAAATTTAATCGAACTGAAACCAAACCGGTGGATCGGTTAACCGTGGTTCGATTTTTCATTTTTTTATGCATTGAAAATAAAAAAAAGGAAAAAACCTACTGAGAGAGAAGAGACTGAGTGAGTGTCGAGTATGAGAGAGAGAGAGAGAGAGAACAGAGGGTTTGATAGTTGTTAAGATGAACAACAACTCTAGCCGACTGCAAAGTGCCTAGTTTCTCCTCCTTTCAGTCGTCCTTCTCTTAGAATCTCTCGACCATGGCGAAACAGACAGAGAAGGCATTCCTGAAGCAGTTGAAGGTGTTCCTATGTTCAAAGAAAATCGGAAAGGGAAAAAGGCCCGAGAAGGGTGGAAACCGTTTCTAGTGTGGAAAAGCATTGGTCTGGGCCTCTAGGGTTCAAGACGTTGAGAGAACTCAGAGAAGCTATTGAAGACTTGAAGTAATACTTGAACAATGAACACCAAATGTCCTTCTTAGTCCAATAGTTCGTATTCTCTATTTCTCTTACACTGGAAACTAGAAAGGCGCGTCATTCGAAGAGACTGTCAGAGTTAGACTGAGAGATTGCCAGACAACCCAGATTGGTAGTGGCAGGTTCGATTTTCGAAGAGAAAGGTTGAAAACCAAACTTTGTTATTCGATTTTCAAAAAAAAAAATACTAAAAAATATAATATAATATAATATTATATATATATTAACCATCGGTTTTTTAAATGGTTAACCAAAACCGAACCGAAATTGTCGATTTTTTGGAAACACCGAACTGACCGGTTTGGCTAACCATTTTTTCGGTTAAGTTTTGATCGATTTTTTCGACCGGTTCAGTTTTTCGATTTTTTTTTGCTCACCCCTAATCCAAAGGCTTGCCTATTATATCAGTAAGGTTTTGCAGGCAGCTGAGACTAGGTACCCTGACTTTACACTAGTTATTATAGCTCAGAAGCTATACCCCTACTTCCAAGCCCACACTATCATCGTCCTAAGTCCTAACTGATAGACCACAGATGCATGTTTTATAGAAGCCCAAAGTCTCATTTAATCACGTGATAAAAATATTCTAAATTTATTTTTTGATAGGAAATATATTCCAAAATTTTGGTTAAAAGGATGTAGACCAAATATTTAATTTCACGTTATAGTGGAGTCTACATGAAACGACTCCCGCTGATTTTTTTTTGAGGATAAGTTGACCGTGGATTTGACATCAATCCACGGTCATCGTTCCACACCTAGGGTGGAGCTAAGAATTCTAAGGGTGGACTGAACAGTTAAAGCCCCTTTTTTTCAATATCTATTCTGCTCGCTTGCAGCATTGGCATTATAGCATTCGCATCCGATGGCAGATCCTATATCCTGAACTTCTAGTGGGTCCTGGGTAGTGGGTAATCGGCACCACAAGTATCCATATAAGTGCTGGACACGTGGCTAATATTTTATCAGCCATGTCAGCTTCTCCTAAGAAACTATCTTTTGAGTTTTGCCACATGGATTGAACCTCCTTCACCTGTTTCGACCCAACAACGTCGGACCACATGTCCCCATTTTGGAAACATTGTCTCCTCGTCTGCCGAGTTTTGTTCCAATGAGTTCTCTTCTCGTGGCAAGACAGGGAAGAAGAAGAAAAACAGCTCTCAGATATCAGTTATCAGATTGGCCATGTCAGCCCATCACGTGAGAAAGAAAAGTGCCACATTGTTGTCCATTTTGTCGGCTAGCACGAAAGATGCCATCCTCAACCGTATCCAAGTTCTAGAATGGCGAGACCTGAAATTACGAAAATGCCACAGATTACCGTAGGATCCTGATCTTCCCATTATAGAAACACGAGAGATGCTAGTAAGCAACGCATCTACTAATACTTCACCCTATAGACGTGGTGGGGCCCTAGAAAAGACGCATAATAAGAGAAACTGGGGGTCCCATCTTGTCTGTAGGGCGATGAAACTAAGAGTTGCACGAACTCAACTTCTGCAATTTCACTCGCAAATAAACACGAGTTGCATGCTTGGGTTCCAGTGGAAGGAGGAAGAGGAACTACTTTCCTCTTTCAATCTTTGTCACAGCGATCGCTGCGAGGGAGAGAGACTGCGAGCTGAAACAAGAAATGGATGAAGAAAGGAACAGAGCCGAGGCTCAACGATGTATCGAAATCGCGGAGAAGCTACTCACGGCGCGAGATCTCATCGGGAGTAAGAAATTTGCTGTCCGAGCTCAAGGGGTGGACCCACTTCTGGACGGCATAGATCAGATCCTCGCCATCGCCGACGTTCTTCTGGCTTCCGAGAAGCGGATCAACAACCACCTGGACTGGTACGCTATTTTGCAACTTGATAGTCAGTCCGACGATCTGGAGCTCATCAGAAGAAACTACAGAAGACTTGCCTCGCTCTTGCATCCAGACAAGAACAAGCGCGTCTTCGCCACTAACGCGTTCAAGCTCGTCGCCGATGCTTGGACGGTGTTGTCTAATCCATCCAAGAAGTCTCTGTACGATAAGGAGCTCAATCTGTTCTCGATTGCTTCGAAGAACGAACAACCTCGAGAGCAGCACTGCCACCAACGAAAGCAACCAGAACGACATGAAGAAGGAGAAATAGAAGTAGAAGAACACCCGGTTAGACGGAGCCCTAGAAATAAGAAGCGGAAGTCACCGAGGGAGCCCAAGTCTACTTCATTTAACGAGGGTAGGCCAGCGCTATCGCCATTATTGACGACTTTCTGGACTGCATGCCCTTATTGTTATAATCTCTACGAGTACCCTAAGGTTTATGAAGAATGTTCTCTTAGGTGTCAGAATTGTCGAAGGGCGTTTCATGCCGCTATGGTTCTCTCTCCTCCTCCTGTCGCTCCGGGAAAGGAGGTTTATTACTGTTGTTGGGGTTTCTTCCCTTTGGGGTTCTCGTTGCCCAATTTAGATTCTACTAAAAATGCAAGCTTTCCCAATTGGATGCCTTTCTCTCCGATGGTCGCTCCCCCTGCTCAACCGTCAGAGGGGAAACGGAACAAGAGAGCACCCAATACTAGTTTAGGTGTTGAAGATGTTTCCGATGAATGCGATTTGTCTCCTGACACCAACATTAGAAAAAAGGGGAGAACCGCCGATGTCAAGGAGAAAGCTTCGACGATTAAGAAACCTGGGGGATTGCGGACGGATAATGCAAACAGGGGAAATGATTACTCTTCGGGGCCAATGAGAAAGGATTGTCAGGGTTCTCAAGATGGAAATGTAGCTCGAAGAGGTAAGCAGACAGAGGTGCCCAAAGTTGCATCACCTCAGAAGAAGAGAAAGAAAAAGATGGTGGCAAAGAAAACAAAGAAGCAGATGCGCAAAAGCTCACCCAGTAAGAAGGTCGAAAGAAAATCACCCCAAGAAACTGAGAAAGGGGATTTGAATGAAGAGTTGAGGAATGAGGTAGAAAAGTCTACACCTGCAACGGGTGAAAGCACAGACACAGGAACCAAAGATGAAGATCCAGGGGTTGGCTTTTTTGAGGGACTTGACGATATCATTGGCAGTCTGCCAATTCTCTCTGTTGTAGAGGATAACAAGGTTGATGGTGCGGGGGTGTAGAACGCCTGATGTTTATATTTGTAACATTTTGGATAGTCTGAAAGACAAGCAATCAGAAGATGCCGCTGACTGGATGGCTATTTTTGATAACCTGATGATGGGCAGTCTGCAAATACTTTCTTCTGTAGAGCATGGAAAATTGAAGATTCAGGAAGGTAGAGCTTCCGTAGCTTTTTGTATGATTGTCATTTTGCACAGTATAAAACCAAGCAACCAGAATTTTACTTCAACTGGTTGCCTTCTAGGCAAATTGTAAGTTATAGTCTGCAGCAATGTGAATCCTCTGGCTTTAGGCTCTTTTGAAGGACTTCTTTTCCCTTGTTTATATTCTTCTTTTATGAAGGCATGAACTACTTATTCTGACGTTTAGATGAATTCAAATTTTTCTACCAGTAAAAAAGGATAAGTTCAACTTCATTCATTAGAGGAAGCCTACCCTGGTTTATCCCATGAATATGATTCTCCCCAGCTCTAGGCTGTTTTGATCTACTTCATCCTTTAGGCTGTGTTTGGTTGCAGTTCAAATAAATTTGTACTGGTGCAAGATTATAATAGTGCAGTATAAATAAAGTAAAATAAGGTCTGAGGTAGAATAAAGTAAAACCCAAAACAAAATTTACATTGTTTTCATTTGCACTCCCATGCATTTGTACTAATGCGAATAAAATTGCACTGCAACCAAATGCAGCCTTAGGCTCAGTTTGGAAAGAGTACAAATACAAATATGTACAGTGCAAATACAGGTTTAGGATAACCAACCGAGGGCTGGCTCATTGGTGTGTTAGCTGGTTTGGTCCAGCTTTGATGCGGAATCAAATCCCGCAGGGGAAAAGGGGTCAGGGGGAAGTTATTAATGATGCATAGCACTGAATACCCCCAAAAAAAAAGATACAGGTTTAGGATACAAAATATAAGGCTTTGTACTATACATATTTGTATTTGTATCTTTCCAAACTGAGTCTTAGTGAAAGCATAAATTACTGCTTTTGTAGCCCAAATTGATTCAAATTTCCTTCCTGAGATAAGGCTACCTGGTTGACCACATGAATTTTTGCATCTATTCTGCCATTCATCTAATATTTTGCACAACTTTCTTCTAAATGAACCATACATTTGCAATGCAAAAATGTTTCTGAACTTTGGCCAAACTAACCAATGCATTTCTATATGTTTTTTTTTGTAATAAAGAACCTGTTTTTTATCACCTTAACGACAACAAAAATTTCTTATCAAGATTGTAACTCAACTGAATTGTGTAACCTATTAACTCAACCAAATTGGAGTTTGGAAATGGAGACTTGTGAATATGGTGTTGGAATTATTACCTGATCACAAAATCTCTACTTTCTGAATTGTTTACAAGTAACTGTATGTCTCTACAAATGCCTTTGACTACTTCACTTAGATATGAGATAGGTTTCTAGTCGCTTTCTTTCTTGTGGTTCTGTCATACATATTTTTATCTTTTGATAAATAATAGAAATGATTCTGTCATATGTATCTTTCTTCTCAGATTTTATCTTCATCCTTTTCTGCTTTTGCTGGGATACATAGGCAGGTGGAGACTCTGGTGCGTCACTGGAACCACGAGTAAGGTTGCTTTCAAATTTGTTTCTTTTGGTTATAGTAATACATGGAGTTTTTTTTTTGG